TCTTTATTTTTAGTTAGCACATACCTTAAACACTTAAAGCTGTAAGCTAATGATAGTTATATAAGAGCAGATGCTGCTGGTGCAATAAGCCGTACGTCTAATGGATGCATGATCTGATTAGTCGGTGACTAGTCAACTATCAAAATAATCGTTTGTGGCAGCCCTAGTGTGTACTTAATAAATTAATAACAGACAGCTCTGTCCTTGTGTTTGATAGTTGGAAGGTGATCTGTAATTAAAAAAAAAACAATTTCATGCAGTCCTTGTTGCTGCAGCATGAAGCAACTTTACAACATAAGTGTTCGGCCCTTAGGGTGTTGGGGGATCTTTCATTTTGGCACATGTACAAGTGCTTAGTCCTCCTCATGCCATTGTCTGGCCTCTGAAACCTGTTGGTAACTTCATACTGGCACAAACACCGCGGACATGTGGGCAGCTCTTAAGCAAACGCTCCCAAAGCAGGGGCTCGGTTTTAATAAACAGCTGGGAGTCTTTCGCTTGTTTATTTGGCCGAGGATTTTGGAGCTTAAGTTTCAGTGCCATTCAGGCTGGCAGTACGCCACAGGCCAAATTTCCTCTCTGCTATTGTGCCAGTAAGAGCTGCCTGGCACAGCTGCACCACTGCTATTCTTAACCGATAAAAGTCTCTTCGGTCTGCTGGGGGTTACCGGGCGACTTTAAAGTGCTTCGTCTGGGAAATCTATGTCCGGTGTTCACAGGCAGACTAGATGTGACACCAGGTGGGTAATATTTGCAACTATAATGTTTCCATGTTTCCTTTGCAGTTTGATGAGGGACGCAATACCTTCGATGGTGAGCTGACCAAAGAAGCGCTTCTGTCCTTTGTCAAGGCCAACCAGCTGCCCCTGGTCATTGAGTTCACCGAGCAGGTAATCGATGGGGCTGCTCACACCGTTTAGATCCCTTTTTCTCACACCATAATGCTGTCCACAGTCCAGATGTTTTCCTCACGTGTCAAACTACTTTCTCCAGACTGCCCCTAAAATCTTCGGCGGAGACATCAAGTCCCACATCCTCATGTTCCTGCCCAAAGCTGCCTCAGACTTCCAGGACAAAATGGACCAGTTTAAGAAGGCCGCAGAGGGATTCAAGGGTCAGGTACGGCAAAGCTGTCACTGTAAAGTGCAAAATTGTACCATCAAGAGAGCAGTGTGGTTTTTCTTTTGGGATTGAGATGCTGGATTTTCCAGAAAGTCTGCAGTTATTGCCCATAAAGGACATTATAGGTGTTTACAAATGTCAATAGGTGGCTGGCTATACTAGCCAACCTTACTGTTAGAGGTTATCTCTAATCACATGGACAAGCAATTTTGAGAGTTGATACACATCACTCAATCGGAAGAGTGGGTATTCTCCATCATGCTAGAAAATAAGGCAGAGGGAGCCAGCCATAGGTGACCTGCAATGAAGGAACATGTGATTTGGGTGTTTTTATATGGAGACCTCAAGGAAAACTTGACGCTTTATTGAAAATGTATTTTCAGCCAAGCAGACAGATGTGTTGTTGGTAAAGATGGTGAAAAACGTTTCTTTTTGAAGGTGTTTTTTATTTTTGTTTTGTTTTTTCTTCAGTAAACATCCAAAGTTGGCAAACATTTAATCACACTTCTTAAACTTGGCTCTTTGTACCTGTATACACCTTGACGCATGCATCAGGAGGGCTATTTTGAGTAAAATCATTCACTGACTCCGCCCTCTCTTCTGTCCAGATCCTGTTCATCTTCATCGACAGCGACATTGACGACAACCAGCGAATCCTGGAGTTCTTCGGCCTGAAGAAAGAGGAGTGCCCTGCCATCCGCCTCATCACTCTGGAGGACGAGATGACCAAGTACAAGCCAGAGAGCGACGCCATCACTGCAGAAAGCATCACTGACTTCTGCAAACTGTTCACTGAGGGCAAACTCAAGGTGAGGGACACCACTATACATAGACTTTATGTTCTGGCCACAAGAAATGTTAATTTTGGACTTTACAGTCTCCATAAATCACATAGTGAAGGCGATTGCACGACCACATCCAGAGTGCAAACATCTTTTTGGAATCTTACAAGCATTTACAGCCTTAATCCGCGTAATGCCATAATGTATCTGTGATCCTCGCCTGTAGGAATGTGCTTTAAATACTCTCTCCAAACCACAGTTCGCTTTTTAAAGAAGTGATTGTCTGTTTCTCACAGCCCCACCTCATGAGCCAGGACATCCCTAAAGACTGGGACAAAAACCCTGTTAAGGTTTTGGTCGGCAAAAACTTTGAGGATGTCGCCTTCAATCCCTCCAAGAACGTCTTTGTGGAATTCTGTAAGAGCTTTCCCTTCTTTCTGCATTTCAACCATTTTTATTTTATGGTGCAGCGTGTT